ATCAATCTGGTTTCGGTATTGACCATCTGGTGATGTCCATGTGTAGAGTCGTCTCTTGTTTCCTTAGAGGGTTTAATTGATGAGCAATTTAAATTAATGGCCTCTCTTCTGCAAGAGACGTGGTGCCATATTTTTCTTGGTTCCTGAGTCTGCCCTGTGGAACACCTTCTCCTGGAGATCTGGATGACTCCAACTGTTGGCCTTTTGTAAAGTGTTAAAACCTGGATGTCCCCATAGGAATTTGGGCTGAGAGGTTGAGGAAGCACTGCTGGTTAGCTGTTTAATTATTGTTGTACCCTCATCCATATGCCTGGTTGATGCCATTTTGTTTACATAAGGATCAGCACACCGAGTACAAGCTTACTATCGATAGGATATAAATATAGATGCATTTGCACTGGAAGCTAGCAGCAAGTTCCCAAAGTGATCTTGGTCAAGAAACGGGAGTGCAAGAAACAAACTGTTCTCCAGCAGCACACCTCCAGACAAGCTCCAGATTCCTCCTGAATGCTTTAAACATGTGTTGAGAGATTCAACCTCAGGTCTCCAGCATGGTTTTTTTCCTTAGAGGGTTTAATTGATGAACAATTTAAATTAATGGCCTCTCCTCTGCAAGAGACGTGGTGCCATATCTTTCTTGTTTCCTGAGTCTGCCGTGTGGAAGACCTTCTCCTGGAGATCTGGACGGCTCCAACTGTTGGCCTTTTGTAAAGTGTTAAAACCTGGATGTCCCCACAGGAATTTGGGCTGGGAGGTTGAGGAAGCACCGCTGGTTGGCTGTTTAATTATTGTTGTAATGATGACATGATTTCTTTTAGCCCCTGACTATATTTTGGTTTTTTAGTATATTATTTTATAAACAGTACTATTGTTCATTTGGTTTTCATCTTTGTACACCACCTAGCGTCACCTTAGTGAGACGGGCAGCTATGTAAATCAAATAAATAAACACATATTAAGGGCAAGAAAAGAAGTGCCAGTTTTATCACCGGCAAAATGTCACTTCCTTGCATATTTTTTTCCTCTGCCCTTCACTGCATCCCTAGGATCTCTACTCTCAGTCCTACGATGCTGTTGGCGTCATGTTCGCGTCTATCCCTGGCTTTGCTGACTTCTATTCCCAGACCGAAATGAACAACCAGGGGGTGGAATGCCTGCGACTGCTGAATGAAATCATTGCTGACTTTGACGAGGTAATTTTGGAATCCCGGGACCCAGAGATGGCGTGAGATTTAAGGAACAGGTGGCCAAGCCAACAGGCCTGGCATTTTGTACCTACTCAGCCAATCTATTACTTTAACCTCTGCATTTGTGCCATTTTTATTTCAGACTTGTGGTTATCTGCAAAAGATTTTGGAAGGTAGAGAGATCATTGACAATAGTTGATGTAGCAGCCCATTCCTTTTTTTGCTTGAGGGTATGTAGGTGCTTTGTGATTGGCTTAATCAACCATGACAACCATTTTGTGAGAATGCCTACGGTCTGCTGTTAACACTCTGAACATGCCCACTGAACCATAATGCTTGCAGACTTCTGACTTAGATTCTTCAGAAGAGGCACAAGACGAGGAAGGCAGCTGTAGGAGACAAACAGGCAAAGGAAGGGCAGCTAGTTAACAGAGTAGAATATCAAGAAAAAACAGGGAGGCATAGGATGGGATGGTTAAGAAAGAAACTGATAGGGAGGACTCGGCCAGAAGAACAATGGTGGAAAAGAACAGAGCAAAGGGTTTGGGAGAGTCAACCTATGTGTGGCCATCTTGTGATATAGATTGACATAGTTATTATAATACAACAGAACGACCCTGAGCTAGAAGATACAGAGGGGAAGAAAACCCAAATATTGATAAAATTAGAAAAAAACTAACATAGATCAGTGATCAGTGTATGCTTTTGTGTGTATCTGTGTGTGTCTGTCTGGCCAAATGCAATGATTGTCTCCATTAACTGAATTTGCTAGCCTGCATTGTACTTGGTCTAAAGGAATGTTTCTTTAGAATGAACATTACTGTAAATGAACGTCTGCTCCGTGACTACACTGGATTTATTTCTGTGACATTTTGTTATATCCATTATTGCTTTTCTTTGCTTCTGAGCTGCTGTGTCTCGGCAGAGATGCACCAAACCTGGCAAGGGAACAGGTCAAGGAGTAAAGATGTCTTTCAGAACAGTAGCCAGGATCACTTATTTGAGGACAGATTTACTCACAAGGAGGCATCCAAGCAAATTTGTTCTTCAGCATAGACCAAGCTTGACCAAGCTTCTCTCAGCCAGAACCCTCCAGGTGTGATGGAATACAAGTCCAATTCCATTATGCTTGTTGGGAATTTATTTATTTATTTATTTAATTTGTAGGCCACCTATTGTTATTGTTATTTCAATATGCATGTTGCTGCTAAATCATTCCAATTCCTGGCAGCTTGCCACAAATACAATAAAAATATCCACTGTAAGAAAGAAAAATACATATATTTGAAGAAAAGGGGAAAAATATAATCCACTCTGGTTCACAATGCCAGAGCTCCCAAAACAACAGTAAGAATAATAAATGAAAACTACAATAAAAAAATAACTGATGATGGTAAAGGATTACTTCTCACATGACCTCCAGAAGAGCCGTCAGTAGCTTCTGGAAGGCCATTACTGGGGGAGGGAGGTCTGCTTGTACAGAGAGGCTGCTCCAAATTATAAGCTCCATAGTTGAAAAATAATACTTTCTAGCCTCAGCCTCTTTCACTGTAAGCTGATTCTAAGTGGTTTACAGGGAATAAAGCTAAAAAATACCCATAAAAATGGTCATAAAACCAGTAAGCAATTAAAACCATTAAATATTGTTAATAAAAACTACATCCTACAACTCTGGAAGATCTTCCTACTTGAATGCCCTCCAGAAGAGGTCTATCTTCACCATTTTACAAAACAACAATTGAGTAGAGGCATATCTGACCTCAGGGGCAAGCTGTTCCAGAGAAAGGTCAAGCCATGGCCCTCAGCCTGAGAAAAGCAATTCATCCCAGAGGCAAAGATAATACTGCTAAAATTCTCCCATGACATTAAGTGAGAAAGAACTGACCTCACTGAGAATGTTATGGAACCTCATTGAGAACCTTCTCCTGTCCTGTTCTTCTTGATTAACAAAGGATCTAGTTAGGGATTGGCTTTGTGACTCTGACATCTTTAGGGACATTTGGAGCCAAGATGTAGCTGAAGTGATACAGGTCTTTTTGCTAGCAGCTAATCTCTTCTAAATTCTGAGGCACAGTAGATTGATTTCAGCGTGGAGGTGTGTCAAGCTTGAATAGATGAAAGAAAGCAACTGGGACAATCTAATTAAGAACAGTGATATTGGGGAGAGCCCAGAAAACAATGCAAGGAGGACTGTATTGAGAACTGGAAGCAGAGGGATTTGGACATGTGAGAGAATTTGTTGGAATTATTCTGAAGAGCATTGCACATAGATTTCTGCTTTGATTTTCCCCACTGCCTGCCAGTTACCATTCAAATACCATTTCTGGATAGAAAAAAAGCCTAGATTGAAAGATAAGACACAAGTGGTGGAGACAATTTTCTCAAGGTTAGGAAGGATATGATAGGTCTCTCATCCTTCACCAAATACTATCAAAAAGTTACAAAGTTACAATGGTGTCATAATTTAATGAAGCTACCGTGGTTAGATGTCCCCCAGGGTCATGGAAAAGCCCTCTGCCATCTCTGTTCCTTTTCCCAATGGCTATTTATTTCTCTTGCAACCCACATGGGTTTATGAAAGGTAAAAGCATAAAAACTGCAGCTCAGTTAAAACCAGGCAGTAAAACCAGCCAGCAGAATAATTAAACTATATATA